AGAGCAGGTATTTTGTCCTTCTACAGCGTCTCTGAAACCATGACTCTCCTCCACAGAGTCCAGACCACATTCACTCAGCCGCTCTATGCTGGACTTTGGCTTTACTGCAATTTTGGAGACACAGCTGAGTTCATTAAACTCAAGTAGAATGAAGTATTTTGGTATTGTCTAATATTGTTGTATTTTACTTTTATACAATGGTGACATGCTTGAATCCCTGTTGGATTCTGAAATCACATATCTGGATGTTTGCACTCATGGAGATTCTGCTAGTTTTATTAAACTGAAATAGACCAAAATCTTTCATATTGTTCTGCTTTTTAATCTGTAATATATCGTTATTGTTTTTTCTCTCCATGCTGGTTGTGGCATTTCTCAAGATCAGATGTCAGTCAAACATTATGGGTGGTACCTCCACATCTTCTAGTTGTTCTCTTGATGTTTCTGAGTTTTTAAAAGGAGATCTTTCCTGTGACTGTTTATGGAGGCTATCACTGCTCATCATCATTTTGATTTACTAAAATATTTCTCCACATGAAAATGTAAACTTCTCTATCCTCTAAATGTTTGTTGAAAATTAACATGTATTTTTACGCTGTCCTTTTTGTTCCACTTCATAGGCCTTAACAAAGAGAGCAGAGCTTCCTTTATCAGAGTTCCTTGTGTCGGTTTGGCAGACTTTATTGTTAAAATCAAAAAAGATCTTTATGAATACATGAAATATATGAGTTTATTTTTTAATGTGTGATCAAAGTACAAGTTTTCAGGATTAATAAAATTCTCAGCAAAGTCTTTTCTTCTGTCTTCATTCCAGATCATTGAAGCGTCCTTACGGGGAAATAAGTTTTGTTCCTTTTTTTAAATAAAAATCCTGTTGGGTGAGATATTTAAACAAAGTGGGAAAATGACAACAACACTAATAGTTTAATTGCTTGGGTTTTTTTGTTTTGGGGTTGTTTGTTTAAGACTGTCACAGTCCTGGGTCTGGCACCCAGTATTTTGAGTTTTGTACTATTACTGATTTTTGGTTTCGGTTTTCAGTATTATTTTCAGTGCTCTGCTTCTGTGTCTCAGGCTCTTCGTTCCCGGGGTTCAGGTTTTCATAACGTTTACTACCTTCCTCATGTTCTTATAGTTAGTTTATCCCAGTTTAGGTTCTGTCTGTCTAAGACTTTGTTTGGATTTTGCCTTTCACTATAAATAAATTCACTCACAGCTGCGCTGTTGTCAGTGCCTCTTCTCTCCACATGGTTGCCTGGCTAACCGTGACATAGACAGTTTGGGTTTTGGGGGTTATGATTTTTTTTTAAAGTTAGTTCAAAAGTGTTTTATGACACTTAGTTTTTACACATCTTCCTGCAGGTTGACAACTAAAGTCTGTGAACTGAGGTCAACACAAGAGGGCGCCTTCATCCTGCTAACAGGGATCTAGAGGAGCTGGGAACTCACACAAGTGCAGGAAGATGAAGTTTGGAGCACTTTGGCAACAGTGGGGAATAAAAACTCCCTTTTAAAGCAAAGAAACCTCCAGCAGAACCAGGCTCTGCAGTGCCCAGTTGGGATTGAGGGAGGAGGACATGATAAACACACCCACCCACTCCACCATGCCATGTTATATTCTTCACTTCTATTGTGCACTTTTTCACCCAGAACGTTAGACTCACGTGCAGTTTCCACATGTAAAAAATAATTAAAAATCTGAATGTGTGTTCATCTGATTTATTAAACACTTAAACACAAGCTACAGTATTAAATGAGGCTTTTGCCAGGATTGTCTTTCATCCCCACTGTAGCTCACACTAACGATCAAACCTTGTGTAATAACTGTGTAATTATATCTACAGATTCATGGACAACGGTGTCATATATTGACTACAAATTATCACTATATGCTATTATTATCATTTTTAGTATAAAATTACACAATTCTTAATGTGTATATTTTATTAAACATTACTATAAACAAATGAAAGGAAACATTTCAAGCTCAATTGATAGATGACTATACTGTACTATAGTTAATTGTCAGAATTAAATATTTAAACCATAAATTTGTTGGCAAACGTTTCTTTTTCAACACATTGTTGTGCCACACCCAACGATTTAATCTTTGGCCTGTCGTGGTTTAATCCTGAGACTGTCTCACACTCCAGGTGTGAGATTAAAACACAGTGCAGTACAAAGTGTGAAAAAAATAGTAATAATAATGCAGAAATGCAGAAATTATACTAGATAAGTAGAAGTAAACAAGGTAGTGACAGTTTGAGCTTTCCATTACGGCCCATGATTTTTTTCTTTGCACCTGCTGCTTCCTGTTAATGATCGGCTTGATGGTAAACAGGTGACAATCATTTGTTGCTCAGTGAAGTCTTGCCTTTAACCCTTCACAGTTTTTTGTCACCTAATATACCGACTGCTTCACCTGCTGATGTTTTTCAGAGAATAACAACGTTTACTATAAATAATGTTTTACAGTTGAATATAAATCTTAAAGGAATCATCTATAACACATAATTAGTGGCCTTGTCTGTGTTTAGGCTCAACATCAACATGGTAACGAACACAAATACTAAACCCTGAAACCTGAATTTCTAATCTGTCACAAATTGTTTATTTAAAAGTAAACTAGGCTTCATAAGTTAAGTAACTATGGCACTATACCGCACACTACATGTACTGTTTTAAATAAGAAAATGATCAGCCCTATGACTCGTAGAGAACTTTTACTTTTTTTTGCATACTGGTTTTTCCAGCTATTGTGCATTGTGACTGACGCTGAGCATATAAATAAACACAGAAAGAAACTTCTGTTAGGTGGGCTGTGTGCAGACAGGAAAAGGACCCAAGGTGCAGACTCCAGAGACAGATGTAAACTCAAAAACCGTTTTAATGTTAAACTCAAATATAACATAACTGGAAACGATCAAAAAATAAACTAATACCGGAGGACTGACAGAACACACAGCTTGGTAAACGGTAGATCGCGACACAGACACTAAGAAACACAGGGCTTAAATACACAGAGGGAGCAATCAGGGAATGGGTAACAGGAGGGAAACACAGCTGGGGCAAATCAGGCCTAACGAGACAAGAGGAAGCAAAACCAGACACATTAACATCAGACATGGACTTTCAAAGTAAAACAGGAAACACATAACACAGACTGAACAAAGACACAGGCTCATAAGCAGGCACTACAAAGGGAACAGAGACGTGGGAACAGGGCAGACACAGACACTGACTGAACACGGGGATATAGGAACTTAAGATACACATAGACGCGAACTAGACAAGGGGATGCGGGTGATAGGGGAGACAGAGCAACTAAAGAAGACAGAGACCTAAGCCAAAAGAAGAACTCAAAGAAACCAAAAACTAGACAGTATAAATAACATCATAAACTCAAAAACCCTGGGTCGACGACCCAGGCATCCTAACAGAAACAATGAGTGTGAGTGTCTGACAGGCAGTTAGTCATTATAAGCAACAAAATAAACTCCTACCAACAAGTCTTTCTGGGTAAGTTTGATAAATCAGGATATTTATTACCAAAGAAAAGCTTAATGCATAAGTGAAGTCACAGATCTTCTCGCGGTGTTGGTTTCTCTACATCTCTACTAACGATCTAAGAACTTTCAAACTACCTGCATTAACTAACTTAAATAAGTTGACGCAGTGCCCGTTCCTCCTCCTCATCTGCTTTGAGGACAACAATACTCATATTGTAAAATCACAAAGGACAGGCTCTTTGCAAAGCAGAGTGAAGGAGGCCATCTATGTTAAGGACGGGAAACCATAGCTCAGAATCAGAATTGGTTTACACACAAACAAGCAATTTGTCCTGGAGTCACAGTGATATGAGTGAGTCATATGCACAGATATTATAACAGAAATTAAAATACATGAAAAGGCCATAAATGGGAGCTAGGGAGAATAAATAGAAGATGATGTGCAAAGTTGTGGGGTGAGGGGGGGGTGTTTAATAGTCCAGCAGCCTGGTGAAAGAAGCTGCTGTTATGCTCTGAGCTGTTAGTTCTGATGGACCCTGAGGAGACAAACAGTTCATGTCCGGTGTGGGAAGAGTCAGCAGCACTCTTCCTTGCCTGTCTCAGGTGATCTTGTATGGGCAGCCAATCACCTTCTCCTTAGTGGATGACGCACTGCAGCCAGCCTTTTGTCCATGGGCAGCATAGCAGATGGTGATGGAGGAAGTGAGGATAGATTCAATGATGCAAGTGTAAAACTGCAACATCATTGACTTTTGACCAACTAATAATTGAATTCTGTTTCACACATTAAATCACGATATTGTCCTAAAAGATCTAGAATACCACCTTTGATACAGAGTAACTTGTTCCTAGACCTCATTCCTGTGGTGTAGGAACCAGCTGTAGATACATAAAGTTATTATCTATTATTATTTGATTTGATTTTCTTAAAACTTGAAAGCACGTGTTTACAGCTAATCAAGTCTTCAGTATGTGGAATGCCCCAATGTGTATTCCTACAAGAACATATACGTGTGAACAATGTGCTAAGTAGAAGATGACAATGCCAGAATAATGTTGTCTCTACCAGTGTGGAAAAATTGGTTTATATATTCAATAATAAAAATCTTTTACAAGACTTGCAGTGCTGTGTAAAAGCTTTGAGTCATATTTGTTTATATTTTGCTTTCAAAGAGCCAGACTTTCTAAAAAAAAAAATTTAATGTCCTTGAGCAATAATTCTGAAGGTTTTGTGATAGTGTTTTATAGTCCCCACACACCCTTTTAAGCTGCTTAACATTGACCTGATAATACTTCAAGCATAAAAAAAACACGCAACTCAAGGAAAGAATCAGTGTTGTGCATACAAATGACAGACAACTTGGCAAAGAAGGCTTTTAAAACTGTAGCTTTAGGCACTCTGTTGCTTGCAGTAACAACATATGTTAGTACCCAGGACAGGTTACACCAAAAAGCTTCTGTTCAGTGAAGATTAATGGGGAAAAAAAAACAAACAATCTTTGTTTCACATGAATTAATCAGCTCATGACAAACAAAGCAATACCCAGTTGTTCCGCAATCTCAACAGCAGGCTGAGAACAATTTCACTGCACTGTAACAGGTTAAAAGCGCAATAAGTGAAGAGAACAAACTTTGTTCTTGATTTTTACACCTAATTAGTTTCACTGCAGCCCGTGAGAAGCAAACACATCAACGCATAAACATAAAAAAGGACAAAAAAGTCTAGTCCACCTTAAGGGGAACACACAACTCTTTTTTATCTGTACTGGCTCACTTACCAGGATGGGCGAGACAAATGAGTAAATCCCCCCCAAAAAAAACGAATCACAAAAGAAACAGCAAAACCTCCACAGCAAGAGCAGCAAGGGGCTCAAAACAGGGTTGAAACTCAGCTTCTGTTGGAGCTCGAACCATGAAGGAGCATCACAGACTAAGACATTAGAACTGGTAATAAATATTGGCATTACATTTTGAATCCACTACCTTAAAAGAGCTCCAATTTACAGACTAGAAATGTCAAAAATGTTACAACTATCCCCGGTCTCCCCTACAGTACAGTTCAGCTGTGGGTGTGGCAGCCTGCTATTGAATGTACAAGACTTATCCGTAGGTTACGGCATGACATTGAAAACAATATAAATACATATGTACGAGCTAAAGCTGTTGCTCTCAGTCCCTCTCAGACTGAGCATTCTCTATCCGGTTGTTCAGTGATGACGTGACGAATCCTACTTCCGGGTCTAAAGTAGTCTGCGTTTAATATGGCTTTTGTGTTGTTAACATGTTTAATGTTATGTATTTTCTTCTATTTATCTCAAAAAGCTCCTAAAACAGTCAGTGATCCCTGTTGACCTCCCTCGGCTTTTATTACCGCTAATCATTTATTTAAGCTCCAGTCTTTAATAAAAACCCCAACTCACTTTAAAAGCCATAGACTGTACATCTCACAGCCCAGCCATGCAAGCAGTATATGAGACATGCAACTAAAACCTCCGTATTGTATGGATATGAGATTATCTCAGTTGTCTCCTGGCTGACAAGATCTATGGATCCTTTTTCACAGCATCCTATGCCACACCATCCGCAGATTACATTTGTTCCTGACCACCGAGAACACTCACGTTAACTTTTATCGAGTGGAAAAAAAGTTAGCTTGTTTATATTATGCTAACATAGCTGTGTCCTAGCGGTCACGTAGCACATCATTATATACCAGCTAGCCCAACTTCAGTAACCCTACAAACGTCACTGCTGTTTAGTTTTCTGTCTTCATTTATGTTGGAAGTGATAACAGAGCTGTACGTTTTAATTTGTTTCCAAAACCCCGCAGTCAGGACATGCTATATTGTATTTAGATAGAAGCTAGCGAGCTAACTCCCTGCTAACTTCTAACTCCGTTAAATGTCATAAATTCCGTTTTCATGGATGCCTGGATGTTAAACTCAATTGTTACACCTGGTAGAGCAGAACCTGATCATTTTATTAAAGATGAAAGACTTTAGATCATTATGTAGCTTTAGAGTTATCATACATGCTCCCAGTAATGCCACCTCTAGTGAATCCGTCTTGATCATCGATGGCACTGACAGCGCAGTTAAGACTCTCATAGGACTAACCAGTGAACTACCGCGCTAAGTGACGGTCAGTGAACTCGGACTGTGGCCAGCGAAGGTTCGGGATGATCTTACCCTCATTCAACATATTAGCGCCGACCTACTACATCACATTTGGTGCTAAATCTACCATTACAAACCTCATTCTTCTACTTATAGCATGGCCTGCTTGACCCTTCAGTGACCCCAACGCGGCTAACTGAGAAACATGTTATTTTATTATGTTTATTTCCATGCTCACCAGTATATTGTTATTTTTGCTCACTTTTAATCTGTACTTCTTCAAGAACTTTTGCTGTACGCCTTGGCGAGCCATGTCGTTGTTTATTAAAAGGTGCAGTGTATGAAGTCACAATAATAAATGTATGTATGGAAAGTTACTTGACGAATTCATACTCACCTGTATTTAACCAATCAACACCTACCAACTATCAGTAAAAAGCATAAACTTTAAATGGCCTTCTGTCAGGGTTCCTGGGTCGCTGACAGAGTGTTTTCTGTTTATGTTTGGTTCCTTTTTCACCTGTTCATATTTCCTGCTTGTCTGTGCCTCCTGTCCACATGCATTATGTTCTAGTTCTCTTCCTGTGTGTCATCAGTTCAATCACGTTCAGCTGTGTATTCCCTTGTTGTGTCATTGTTGATGTTGCCGTTACGGTCGTGCGTGTTTTCAGTTTGGTGTTCGTTCATGTTCTGTTCATCCATTCTCAATAATAAACAGCCTTCAGTTCATCACTCATCCACGAGTCCTGCGTTTGGGTCCTCTTTTCCTTCCCTCCACACCATGAAGCCTGACACCTTCAGTACTGAACCCTGATTTAACCCTTATGACCTCACCGGGCATTTTTATTCATTTACTTGAACTTTTTTGTTGTTTTCTTGTCTGTGTTACAGCTTGTTGGATGGATTATTTCCAGGAAATCTACTTTTAAGTCAAATTTTTGACCTTACATGTCATCCATACAGTTGATGCATTTTGCATGCTTTTGATTCTTTGCCATAAAATCCTCATACAACAATATGTGTGTGTTTTGTTTTAGCTTTTTTATCATAAATGACCTAATCAGCTTGACCCCTTTTCCAAAATGATCTAACATTGAATTATTTTCAGGATTTCAATCATTTTAATGCCAGTTTAAATATTTAAATTATTAAGAATTTATTCAAACCAACACAAAAAAACTAAATATTTTTCATGCAATAAATAGTTCACGGATGTCACATGATTACATTATTATTTTTTGTGTCATGCAAAGTCCATCCATGGACAAAAATGTGCAGGAACAAAATCTGTTCATTTTCTCATATGAAAATAATCTCATATAAATCGTATTCCCTGATTATGAAACGGTTTCAGTTCACTCTTAAACTTTATTTTTTTGTGGGAGATCCTAGAATCAAGACAAAGGACTGTGACATTCTTTTAATTATTAAAACCTTCAATTTGTTTGTCAGCTTAGACAACAAAATCATAAGTATTTGGTGTGCTAAACATAAATATAATTCTCTATCCTTTCTTTATATACTGATACAAAAAACTGTGTGAACATTTCTTAAAAGGGGGTCTGCCCATGTCTCTGTTCTTGAAAGTGGAATAGAAACAACAAGATAAAAATACATCAATACAAATATTCATTTACACATTTGGAGCACAGAGATGTTTCCATTTTCATGTAAAAAAAAAATTTACAAATTAAAAACATTATGAGGGATGATAGCCTCCATGGCTAAACAGACAAAGGAATAATCTCCAGAGATATAAACTGCGAAACATCAAGGAGAACAACTAGAAATGTGACGAGGTACCACCCAAATGTTGACTGACAGCTGATCTCTGTGCAGAACAGAAATGGGGCAACAATAAAATGAAACTAAAACACATTTAAACACAATATGAAAGATTCATCTATTTCATTTAAAACTAGCAGTGTTTCACAAGTAAAGCCAGAGTCCAGCATAGAGCGGCTGAGTGAATGTGGTCTGGACTCTGTGGAGGAGAGTCATGGTTTCAGAGACGCTGTAGAAGGACAAAATACCTGCTCTGTGATCCAGGTACACTCCTACTCTGGAGGAACGAGGACCTGAGACAGGAGTTTGGATGTTGTTGTACCAAAATGTAAAACTGTTTTTGTAATAATTGAATGCCCAAGAATTTTCATTACGTCCCAATTTGCACTCATTACCCCACCCTGCTCTACTGATATCCTTGTATGCGACTGCGACATGAATTCCTCTCCCTCTCCACTCCACCTCCCAGTAACAACGTCCAGTCAGACTCTCTCTACTCAGGGCCTGACACCAATAAGTGAATTTGTCTGGATGATGGTAATAACACTGTTGTTCATTCATTACTGTTACTTTTCTGTTCCCCTCTGACAATAACAGACATTTGTGTGCTGTGTTTGGATCCAGTGTGATTTCACATGAATATTTTAAGAATTCAGCTCTGGTCTTTGGCTCTGGCTCCACTTCAGTGACTGTCAGTGAGATGTTTGTCCATTCCTCTCTCAGAATGTCCTGTAGTTTATCTCTGACCTCTGACACAGCTGCTGTCACATCCTCAAAGTAGCTCAGAGGACGGATATTGATGCTGGATGAGTCTGTAGACTCACTGAGTGCTGACAGTGAGGGGTAGTTGTGTAGAAACTGGATGTGATCCTCTGTGTGTGAGAGCTGCTTCAGCTCAGCATCTTTCCTCTTCAGCTCAGTGATCTCCTGCTCCAGCTTCTCCTCAAGCTCTTTGACTCGACTCACTTCAGTTTCCTGCTGGGATCTGATCTGCTGCTTCACATCAGAGCTTCTTTTCTGGATGAGATGGATCAGCTCAGTGAAGATCTTCTCACTGTGCTCCACTGTTTGATCAGCAGACTGATTGATGGCCTCCACCTCCTGTTGAAGCAGCTTCACATCTTTCTCTCTGTCCTGGATTCTCTGCTGGATGTTTTGTCGACTCACCTCCAGCTCTCTCTGCCTCTCAGTCCTTTCTGCTGCAGCTGAGACTGTGTCGTGGCCTTTATGTTCATCCACAGAGCAGAGATAACAGATACTCTGCTGATCAGTACGGCAGAACATCTTCATCACCTCATCATGACGAGAGCAGATGTTCTCCTGGAGCTTCTTGGAGGGCTCCACCAGCTTGTGTTTCTTTAATGGAGCCACATCATAATGAGGCTGAAGGTGTTTCTCACAGTAAGATGCCAGACAGAATAAACAGGACTTGAAGGCTTTCATTTTTCTTCCAGTGCAGACATCACAGGCCACATCTTCAGGTCCAGCATAGCAGTGATCAGCAGGAGCAGCTTGGAGTCCAGTCTTCTTCAGCTCCTCCACTAAATCTGCTAACATGGTGTTTTTCACCAGGACAGGCCTCGCTGTGAAAGTCTGTCTGCACTGAGGGCAGCTGTAGATTTTCTTCTTTTCCTCTTCATCCCAGTGGGTTTTAATACAGTTCATGCAGTAGTTGTGTCCACAGGGAATAGTCACCGGATCCTTCAGTAGATCCAGACAGATTGAACAGCAGAACCTTTCTTGCTGTGCCATTTCACCTTGCAGTGTCTAATTGTCAGAAACAAGGAAAGTAGTTGCTCACCACAGACATGCTGGTTACACCCATCGAGGAACTAGAAAACATGTGAACAAGGAAATTTATGCACCACCGAAGTGGGCGGAGTCAACAGTGGTTTTTCCAGGAACAGGAGTTTCTGAAGAGGCAGGACATGTTTGGCAAGTACAGCCATACAAACCTGTCACAGTAGAGAGGACTTAAATGCAAGACAGATCTGTTAAGAAACATAACGCGAGCCTTCATTGGCTGAAAAAAGACAGAAGAATCCCCTAAAAGGACATTAGAATCACACAAAACAGGAGGGAGAGGATCGTCTAACAAACAGGTTAAAGAACTGACGCTGTGATAATCACAAAAAAAGAAAACCACACAATGATGCAGACAGTTTCTTTTTAAAGCTTAGAAAATCAAAATCATAAGTCAAAGAATAGAACATTTGGAGTTTAATCAAACACAAGAAAACAATAAATAAGAGAATACAGTCACTTCATGCACTACACATACAGCATGTGTTTATTTTTATTCTTATTTATTCT